GGCTCTGAGCCATCAGCCCAGAGCCTGACACGGGGCTCGAACTCACGGACCGTGAGATCGTGACCTGGTTGAAGTCGGACGCTTAACCGACTGCGCCACCCAGGCGCCCTCAACATTTTTTTCATTTGCTGATTTGAGCAGGTATTTTGTTCTGGTGTTAGAGAAAGGGAAACATAGGCTCAAACTTACATGTGGTCAGAGACGTATATATGTAAGATCTCATAAGCAAGATAGAAATCCAAGTCTCTTAGGTCTTAGTGTGCTGCTACTGTTATTTAAGTATAATTCCCCTCACTCTGTGTACTATAGTATTACCAATATCTGCAAATGGAACTTTGATACTTCTGTTTATAAAATTAAACCTAATTAGTTTTCATTGTGCCAATGTGATATGTCATGAGAATTTCAGTTTAACTTTGCACCATTCTTCATTCCTGTGTTTAACAAATATCTGGCAAGCACACACCGCATAAGAACTGCATAAGTATTGCATAAGAACTGAGTGAGGTCTGTCACAAGTCCGTGCCTTCAAGGAACTTGCACTCTAATGGGGGAGATAGGCAAGTAAATCAATGGTGAGAAAAGCTAATTGCTGTGTCAAAATAGGTATAGTAGATGGAGGCGCCTGGGTGGCTCAGTCGGCTAAGCCTCCAGCTCTTGATTTTGGCCGAGGTCATGATCTCAAGGTTCATGATTTCAACCTGGGAGTCAGGCTCCGCACTGACAGTGAGGAGCCTGCTTGTATTCTTTCTCTTTCTCTGCGCCTCCCCCGCTTGCATGTTCTCTCTCGCTCTCTCAAAAATAAATAAATGAACTTAAAAAAAAAAAAAAGTATAGTAGGCTAGGAATCTCAGGAGAGAGATGTTTAAGTCACACAGAGAGGTTGGCGAATGCCCTGAGGCACAAGCAGGAGTTGAGAACTTCACTGGATGGACAGCACCTTTGGACACTTCAGAGAGGTGAATGTTGTGTGAGAGCCTAGAGGCCTCAGAGAGCATCATACATCATCAGACATCAGTTTCCAGTTGCTCTTCCTTGTAATATGGAGGTCTGGAGAAACTCCTCAGTCGGAACAAAACCTGGTTTGTGCTTATATAAGTTGGAGTACTGCTGTATACATTGTTCCAGCATAAAAGAGGCACAGTGCACATTTGCATGGGGGAGGCTCTGCCTTAAGAAAAGTGTTTTACTGTGTTTGACCCAACATTTCCCAAACTTCTACGATCACTAAAATCTTTCCATTCATGCAAGACTAGCATTCTGCTGAACACACTTTGGGAAAGGCTTTGGTTAATGTTGAGGAGCAAGAATTTCCCATCCCTTTCTGGGTCCTTCTAGCTGGACCTAAGAATCAAATTGACATGAGACAGATTAACAGGACAAAATCCGATTTGATCGTGTACATGCAGGGAATCCACACACACATGGAAATTCCAAAGACAGGCAAAATGAGGTATATGTGTCATTGTGAACTGAGAAGAAGATAGGGGTCTGGGACTTCAAAAGGAAGAATGCAGTTTACAGGAAGATAAAAAGAAAGGGCGGGGGAGGGGGTAAATGTTTCCTGAATAAATGTTTGTTGAGCCACTCAGAAACAATGCCACACAGAGGACTTTGATCAGACAGGCCTTGCTGTCAACTACACCTAGTTCACAGTGCAATGTCATTATCTGTGGTGATAGTGCTCTTCTGGGAGCAGGTCCTCTATCTAAATTCTTCTAGGCAGTTGTGGGGGAGGGAAAGGGCTTTTCCTGAATCAACTGGGTTTTGGTTGCTTTTTTCCTACAAGTATTGATTTAAATTCCAGCTAGATAACATACAGTACAACATTAGTTTCAGGTATAGAACTAGTCATCATTTACATCCAATACCTGGATGTGAGTACTTGTGCTTATCACAAGTACCTTCCTTAATACCCATCATATATTTAACCCATTCCCCAACCTACCTCCCTTCCAGTAACCCTCAGTTCTCTACATTTAAGAGTCTGTTTTATGGTTTATCTTTTTTCCCCTTTGTTCCTTTGTTTCTTAAATTCCACATATGAATGAAATCATATGGTATTTGTCTCTCTCATATGGTATTTGACTGACTTATTTCACTTCGCATAATACACTCTAGCTCCATCCACATCACTGCGAATGGTTTTGATTGTTTAAAAAAAAATTAAATGTGTTTATTTTTGAGAGAGAGAGACAGAGAGAGGGAGAGAGAGTGTGTGTGCACCAGCGTAGGAGGGGCAGAGAGAAAGAGGCAAAGAGAGAAACCCAAGCAGGCTCTGTGCTGACAGCACAAAGCCTGACATGAGGCTTACTCCCACGAACTATGAGATCATTCCCTGAGTCAAACTCAAGATTCAGACATTTAACCAACTGAGCCACCCAGGAGCCCTGGTTTTGATTGCTTTTTAGCTCACACTGGTCTTCGTATATAAGTGGCTCATCTTGGAGTAGCCTGCTATAGTTACTATAGCTACTACAGTTATAGTATACAGTTGGCCACTATAGTTACTACAAGTAAATCCATAGCCTAACAGGATGTATGTTGCCAAAAAATTCATGAAATGAGGCTAGAGAGATAACAGATCCAGTTCATAAAAGGCCTTATGAATTTCAACTTTATCCTAAAAGCTGTAGGGAACTACTAAGAGTTTTAATCTAAAATGTGACACCATCAGATGTGTGCTTTAGTAAAGTTCCCACGGAAAACTTTAAAGGGTAGATATCTGACAGTTTCAGGGGCTGCTGCAGTCCGCAGTAAACCAGGTGAACAGTGAGGAGAATGAAAGCATAAGAATGGAGAGGAAAGAGTAGAAATGAAAGATGTCAACCATTTTAAAATCAAGGAGCTTTATTTATGATATACTCAACATGGAGGCTAAATATTTTAAAAAGGGACATCAAGAATAATTCCTTTCTTTTTCTTAAACGACAAAACATATTTTAGTGCCTGTACCAAGCTATTGGATACACACACAAAAAAAAAAAAAGAATAGGTTTTCTAGAAAAGATGCTGGGTTCTATTTTGGACATATTGTATGAAAGGTACTCTTAATATCTTGAGTAGCCTAGGGAAGCTGTGTAATTGGCAGGCAATCAGTTATGTGTACCTGAGGTTTCGCAGAGCTCTAGGAGAGATGGGCAGCTTGGAGTCATTACCATGTCATTAATAGTTGTAGCTGAATAGAGATGAGAAAAACCACGCAGTCATTTCTAGAGTGAGAGGATCCAAAGCCCTGAAGCAAACAGCAGTGTCGAAGGGATATAATAAAGGCAGACTCCACAAAGGAGGCTGTAAAGAAATAATCCGAGAAAGGAGAAATAAGGAAGAGAAATTTTCAGAAGATCAAACTGAAGGCAGAGTGACCAATTAGGTTCAATAATAGTCCAGGCAGGAGATGTATGATGGCTTGAAATAAGAGCTACAGTGGAATTTGACACTAGAGAAATGCAAAATAAATCCACAGTGTGATACCATCGTATAGTTATTAGAATGCCTACAGTTACAAAGACTGAACATACCCAGGGCTGGCAAGAATGGAGAGTAACTGGAGCTCCTATACCCTGCTGAAGAGGATGGAAAATGGGCAGCCGCATTGGTAACTGGGTTGGCAGTTTCTTAATAGGTTAAATATATACCTACTGTATGAACCAGCCATTCCACTCCTAAGTATCCATGCAAGACGCATGAAGCATATTTCCATACAAAGACCTTTACCAGAATGTCCATAGCGTCTTTCTTTGTGGGCCTCAAAAAACAGAACACTAAATCAGCTGTTAACAGGTTAATAGATACACAAATTGTTATATAGTCCACACAATGGAATACTATTTAGCAATAAAAATAGTGAGCTAGTAATCTGCACACCAAATGGATGGATATCAAAATAAATATTCCTAGTGAAAGAAGGCATACATGAAAAATGTTATGTCAAATATATAGAAAGCACAAATGAACCTACAGTCTCAGAAAACAGATAGAGGCTACATGAGAATTAGGTTGGGGAGGGAGGCACAGGAAGGAAGGATAACAAAGAGGCATAAGGAAACTTTTGGGGTGATGGATATGTTCACTTTTTTTGTTTTTAGTGTGGTGATGGTTTCCCAGATGTATACATGTCTAAAAACCTGTTAAAATGTATACTTCAAACATAAGCAAATTCTATTGTGTCGATTATAGTTTGGTAAAACTTTAAAAAAATAGGGTAGATATTAGAGTTGTTTAGGAGATGAAATTAGCAGGGCTCTTGGTTGATTAGATGTGGAATAGCAAGGAGACAGTCAGGATGAGTCTCTAATTTAGGAGATTGGGTGGGGGTCATAGTGCCACCAAATAAATAATAAGGATTTGGGGGTAAAAAGATAATCATTTTGATTTGGAATGTGTTTAGTTTGAAGTACTGATAAGATATACAGATGATTATGTCTCATCTGTTGAATGTGGATTTCTAGGCAAAATCAGGTCCAGACATATATATTTTTGAGTTGTCAACATAAAGTAAGTAGATATAAACTGGAGGTTACCTGGATAACTAAAACCCAAGAAGCGGCCAGATCGAGACGCATTAGGGAACATAACACTTCAGAAATATTCAAAGAAATAAGTCCCAAAGAAGGAAATCATGAATGAGGTTGGAAAGGTACAAGAACCTGGAGAAAGGTTGTCTGTCACTAGGAAAGCCAAAAGAGGCAATTTCCTAGAAGGAAGGAAATGTTAACATCAAAAACTGCATAGACGTGGATTAAGATAAGGACCAAGAGACCCTACTGAGTTTGGATGTAGGGAGGTCCCTGCAGATCTGAGAACAACTGAAATCCAAGGAGTAGTGGGATCAGAATTGAAATAAGCCTTCAGCAACGTGGGTCATCCCTCCTTTTCAGTGACCAGATTAGTTGTTTATGTGAATTATTCTCAACTAGTTTATAAATGCACCCTCCCTTGAAATAGAGACACACTCTTTCAGGTGGCATTCCCCACCTTGCCTTGACAGTCACTTAGTAGAACCACAGTCACCACTAGAAGTGTGTCATATCCCTGAAGTACACTGATATAAACACAAGATTGAGAACAATCATTTCGATTTCAACCTAAGAGAGAGAAGAAAGGAATTGCCAAAGTAACAATTCATTTGCCACAACTCAGCATTGATTATAAAATACTTGCTAAGCCCCTACTCTTTGTCTCGTATTTAATAAAACCCTTATTTCCCTGCTTATCCATAAATGATGTCTGGACTCATCAACTCTGAAATTTTATGTTAATAGTTATTCTGTAAGGGAAAGAAATAGGGCAGGACATGAAAGCAAGTGTTAGCATTTCATAGCAGAACCCACTTCATTGCTATCACTCATGAAGGAGAGAGTAAAGCTCTTCCTTTAACTCAGTAAAAATATGCCGCCCTATGCCTCTCTGCTGGAGTTAACACTTGGGCCAGTGAGTTTCAATTCAATGTCTTTCTGCTCTTTAATCAGTTTTTCTTAGAATGGTTTCTAAAAATGCATATATTCATTCAGGGATATGGAGGAAAACTACCTCCAGTCAGTGGCTTGCCTGTGATAGAGAGGGAGAATTTCATTTTCACAGACACCATTAAAATATGCACCCGATCTGTGGAAAGAGGCTATTTTCATGTTCCAGTCAACAGCTCCATATGAAAACTTCTTTGCTGATCTGGATAAAAAGGAATGTGCATGAAAAAGTCTTGAAAATGGTTTTATATATATATATTTTTTTATTTTAGCCACCAGTCTGGTCAAAAAGTTATATGTGTATAAAATTAATATGGTATATGAAAGTAATTCAGTTTTTATATTTTGACTTGCTGAATATTTTTAATAGGACAGTTACTCAGTGTTTTTTATTGTCTGTTTATTTTGAAAAACTCTGCTTTAAGGATTTGAGGTATTAATAGGTTTGGTATTTCTTTTGATCATATTTTAAATTTTATTTATTTATTTTGAGAGAGAGAGAGAGAAAGAGAGAGGGAGAGAGAGAATCCCAAGTAGGCTCTGTACAGGGCTCGAACTCTCAAACCCTGAAACCATGACCTGAGCCAAAGCCAAGAGTCGGAGACCCAACTGACTGAGCCACCTACGTATCCCTGTCATTATTTAATAGGGCAATTATGTTTGTTTTTATAGAAGATACTTCCTTTTGGAATGGAAGGGCTACAGATTACAATGGGATTTTAGAGTTTGATATTTTTCTTTGTTTTTCAAAAAAGTACTATTCTAAAAGTTATGAGTTAAGGGAAAATAATAATGTTCCATGGTCAAATAAATTTGAGAAATACTTCTTGCTCTATGTCCCCCAACTTGAGCATTACATTGAACATTAGTATGTCAGAAGATCTGGGCAGTCATAAAATTAAAATATATGTTTAATTTGCTTAACCCAATGTTTGTCATATTTATTTGAGCCAGGAACATCCAGGAAACTAGCGTTCCAAAGAATAAACATTTAGAAATGCCCTTATAATCCACTGGTTTAAATAGCCATTTTCAGACCCTTGCTAATTCAGATCCAATATCAGGCGAAGATTTAGAGGCTGAATCTTTCATGTTAATGAACTGATGCCTCAGTATGCATCAAGGGTCCAAAATATATGAAGCAGTTAAAGGCTAGGCCTAAGCAAATATTATGGTGAGAAAGCACATAATTCAGAAAGAGCCTAGCCTCCTCGTCAGAATGAAGGGGAGGAAATCAATGAGATAAGGGGTTCCCATCTGCTTTCTGAACAAAACAGACTAAACAGAGAAGTCCCTCTCTTCTTTCCTTTGTCAGGGTATTATTTTTAAGCCCTCTTTGTGGATAGTTTAATACTTTATTTTATTGATGTCATTGCTTCTGCAATTATTCAATAGATATACGTGGTCCAAATGCTTGGGAAAGTCGATGTTAATTTGAGAATTAAAGTAAATTTATCTTGAAGTAACAGTGATAATACAGACATGGTTCGTCTCGCTCAAGTAAGACTTTCTCTCTCCTTTACAGCCAACATATCAATTGTAGATATAGATACTAACCAGGAGGAGAACCTAGCAACTTTATCTTCTGGAAACAACTTTGGTCTTGACTTGAAAGCAGATGACAAAATATATTTTGGTGGTCTGCCAACACTGAGAAACTTGAGGTAATGTAGTGTATATTTAGAGCTAAGGATTAAGTTTTAATTAAATGGCCACCCTGCTCACTGGAGTTCTGCAGTTTAATTACAACAGGAATGTTGCATAACCTTTAGTTGCAGAAAGGCTTAATTAAAAAAAAAAATCATGTTACATGTTAGAACAACACCAGGATTTAGACGCCCAAGGATTAATTGGATATCTTTGTTGAAGAGATGGATGGAAATCACTATTTCCCTCATATTCACCTGATGAAAAGAATTGTAAAAGTAATTAAAGGTGGAAACTAGAGTTGAATGTGCGTCTTGTAATTGCTCTTCTCCTCGCACATTCACTGCAGATCATGGGACACTGAGATTGCTTAGTGTTCTAAAAATCAGTCAGTGTTCCAGAATACTGTGAGTATAACCTATTTTGTTGCTAAGCATTAGCATACTAATGCTATGTTGGAGCTTTCCCATATGTCTAATGCTAAAGCTGTATTAGTTTTTCTTGTGTCCCTGCCAACGTTTTTTTTAATTTCACACATGTTTTTTAGATAGCAGGATGGAGAGATATAATTAACTCATAGTTTAGTTCAAAAAATAAACTCAAGAAACTAAAAAAATCTCAGGAAATATTTCATGTGTATTTAATTAATTTACTGCTTGTTATAAAACATCTCATAAGAAAAAAGAGTTATAAAGCACTTGGTGCTCAATAAATGTTAATTGAGTTTAATTAGAACGGAATGAATTGACTTGGTTAAACCGTAAGAACTTACTATAAATACAGACTACCTCGTTTTTAATTTTTGTTTTGTTTAGTTGGCTTGTTAGTTGTTAATGGTTATAAAAGTCCTATCGCAGTGTTTCTTCTCTTATTTTTTTTTAAGTTTATTTATTTTGGAGAGAGACAGAGACAGTGTGAGTGAGGGAGAAGTGGAGAGAAAGGGAGAGAGAGAGAGAGAGAGAGAGAGAGAATCCCAAGCAGGCTCTGCACTGACAGTGTGGTGGCTTGAACTCATGAACCATGAGATCATGACCTGAGCCAAAACCAGGAGTCAGACACTTAACCGACTGAGCCACCCAGGCACCTCTTGGTGTGTCTTCTCTTAAAAGACGCATTGTGATTGGAGGGATTCTCAGAATAACTGAGAAATATGGTAGTCAGTTGTTTTTGAATTTCCCAAACGAGCGGTGCAGTTTCAATCTCGTTTTATGATAGCTAGCATACAGACTGAGTTTTACTCTTCTCCCTGTACCTAAATTCATGGACCAAGCAACTAAATACCAGCCTTTCAAGAGTATAAGTTGATAGGCTTCATGGGGCTTCATTCTGCATTCATCCACATTACGATATACTTGTGTTAAGCATGTACACTTACAGTGTCTGGTCAGAAAAACTCATTGCAGATCAAATGCGTTTGGACTGTGACATAGTTATTACTCAAATATCTGTTACTGTCAAGTGTTCGCTGAGAATCTACTATGTGCCAGGCACTGTATAAATACAGATCCGACAGTTGCTTCAGTCTAAGATTTATTTTGCAAGATCATTAATTAAATTCCCTATGAGTGAATTAAATATAGCCAAAATAAGGCTATCAAGATGTAGCTTTATGTATTCTAGGGATGACTTGGTTTTAATTACCATAAAGTGATTTTAGGAATTATCTATAAAGGTATATTTGTTAGCTATATTGAGATAGGTTTATACATTCGTTTTCAGACTGCATATTTAATAAATCTGTGTCACTAAAATGTTTTTACTTGCTCAGTACAGCATTTTATAGTTATGGTATTTCTATGGTAAGGTACATTATCCCCATACAATCTTTAGACATATATGTGTGAGTAAGTAAGGAGCTTTGCATTCTTAGTTTGCTGTTACTTTGCCCACAGACAGGATCTTAATATGCTAAAGTTCAAAAGATGAGGTAAACATAAATTATTTTTATATATATTAAGTTCAAGCTCATCGAGAGGCAATATTTATCAACAACTCATGAATACTACAGCATAGCAACGTTTGTGCATTTTCTCATTCATCAGATAGATTAAAATTAGTATTTTAAATTTGTATTTCAAAATAAATGTTAAAAAAAAATTGAAAAAAAAAAAGAAAAAGGGGTTCCTGGGTGGCTCAGTTGGTTAAGCATCTGACTTTGGTCCAGGTCATGATCTCACAGTTTGTGAGTTCGAGCCCCACATCGGGCTCTGTGCTGATGGCTCAGAGTGTGGAGCCTGCTTCGGATTCTGTCTGCCTCTCTCTCTTCCCCTCCCCCACTCATGCTCTGTCTCTCTCCCTCAAAAATAAACATTAAAAATTTTTTTTTGAAAAAACATTTGTACTTCAAAATAAACATTTCCCATAGAATAGTGTGGAAATAAAATGGTCATCTTTGGATTCGAATTTCACAGGGGTCAAGGGCATATGTCTGTTTTCTGTTCTGTTGGTTTTTCACATTCCCTTCTTTTTAAGATTGCCATGTGATACTTTTTAAAAAGACTTATGATTAAAGTGTATTGTTTTACTAAATGAAAATGCAATTGCAAGTAAATTGTGTTTGTTTGTTTTTTTTTCTCTTCCCTTTGACCTAGTATGAAAGCAAGGTAAAACTTAAATTATGCATGCCTTCTTCAAGTGCATGGGTTGGGTAAATGTGGCTTCTTAGACACAGCAGTGGTGCAGAAGCAGAGCAATACCTATGCAGCTTAATTCGTAGTACATTTCATGAGCAAGTAATACATTCTGAAAGTTCTTGTGCTGCCCTTTACTTACTGAGATGCTGCTGCTCACCCACCGTGAATCGGGCTGCAATTTCACTTATTTCACCAGCTATGAGGACAGATTTGCTCTGCTTCCTTTCTGAACTGCCCACGCACAGTGCCCCCTGGTGCACATACGCAGGAGCACACATGCAAAGGTCAGCTGGTCAGGTTGATGGGCACGATGTAGCTCTGGGGACAGAGCAGAGCGGTCTGTTGGGTTGAACCCTGGACTCCCATCTGTCAAGTACCATGCTGTCTGCTGAACAATTAGCCTGTGCTCCCAAATGCTCACCACTGCCTCGCTGCTTTTTGCAAGCCTGCAAATATGCAAATGTTTACAGGGCCCTTGCACCTCTTTGCAAAGCTGTTTATTTATTGTCATGTTTATTTAGAATTAGCCATGAAGCCAGATAAAAGGAATCTCTGGAAATAATATATTTTAAGCCAGTATTTGCCTTAATGGTGACGAAGTTTGTGGACGGTCCCCATAGTTTCCCAGGAGCATTTTAATTCCTGTTTGCAGAAAGACATTAGCATGAAAGCTATGAGCAGCAGGCCTCCGTAAGTGGCTGATCAAACCCCAGCAATGTGCAGGGCTGGCACACTCTGGCTAGTGCCTGGTGTTTTGATATTTCAGAGCCTAGCTATGCCACATTTCTGGAAAGGAGATATTATGGCCTAACTTAGCCAAGACATTTTTAAAACAAAGTGTAGACTTCTAACACCAGAAACTAGAATGTATAGAAATGAAAGTATATACAAAAAAATTATCCAAGTTGTTTTATCACAATATAGTTATGAGCCTAGTCATGCTTTTTGCTGGGATGGCTAAAAGGCAAAGGCTGGCTTTCAATGGAAATATATAAAACTCTGGAGTGACACTGTGTAGCTTTGTAATGCTGCCTTTGAGGCAAACAGAGGAAAAGAGGCCTGTGGTTACCATTAGGAATCTGATCACATGTGATTGCTTATCCCCCGTGCTTTTCATAGCATTGAGCCTACTAAATCATCGTGTTTTGAAATAGTTCATTGTGTGTCCATGAAACAGTGAACTCTATAACTTGTAGAAGAGATTTACTTTATTGATAGGACCTCTGAAAAATTTGTGATAGAGCAGTCATCCTTTAAAAGAAAATATGGAAGCAAATGAACACTGGGAATAAAATTCACCCATTCCCTATGCTTTATAAATAAGAATATAAGCAAGATCCTTACCCTCCAGTTGGACATGTTCTTCATAATAACAAATTGACTGAGCAGAAGGAGGAGACCTTGGGAATAATGGGAAATGACCAAAGAAAATGAAGCAGTTCCAGAGAGAGAAAAGACAGAACAAATACGTGGCATGACATAAATCACCTGATACACATGCCAGGGTCTGATTTTCTTTCCCGCCTGTTTTTCCGCACGCCCTATGTTTTTTATTGAGGCAAAAAAGGGAAACCTGGCATCATGAGACAATGAGAGAATTAATCATTATCCTAATAATATTTTGGTGTTGATTGGGCAGGTTTTACAGATGCTTATTAACACCAAAAAAAGTATTATTATTTTTTATCCCGACAGACCTGTATTATTCAATATGGTAGCCACCAGCCACAGTGACTACTTAACTTTAAATTAAATAAAATTAAATAACAACGTCCAGTTTCTCATTGGCATAAGCTTCATTTCAAGTGCCAATAGCTACATGTGACCAGAAACTACTGATTTGGACAATGCAGAACAGAATATTTCCATCATCACAGAAAGTTCTATTGGACAGTGTTGCTATCAACTAAATAAAGAAGCATCATCACTGACATCCTACTAGCTGCTATCCATTGAGCACTTCACATGTGCTAGCATGTTGGGTTTTTTCTAAGCAATAATGAATAAAAAGTAAACATGCAAGTGTTATTTGGGTATAGAAGACATTTTCAACCTTAAGGAAGATGGGTTTTGTGCCTTTGGTTGCTTGATTTTGTTATTGCCCCATTATAAAATAAGGACTTTGGGGTCAATCTATAAATCCAATGTTTAAGTATGTTTTTTAGACTATGTAATCCAAAAGAATGTTTCTTAGGCTTTGTTTTAGTTAAACCTTTAAAGAGAAATATAATATTATCTTAATCTTCAGCTGCCCCTTCTCTCCCCCCAAAAAAACTCAATGACAAAAAAAAATTTTTTTCAAAATAAATGTTTCCCATGTTTTCCCTAAATTTTTCCCCTAAATTTTAACTTTTTTGGTTCATAGTTTTATTACTCTGCCTACTCAATTATCTACTCTTTGGTACAAAAAAGAAAACCATTTTGTTACACATATGAAGCACTTAAGACATCAGTAATTCCTGTATCGTGAATTTAAGTGCTGTGGGTAAGATTATTTTTAAAAGAGAGGAAGAACTACATAAAGATTCTTTCTGCAGGATGGGGTAACATCCATTTCATCCAACCAGTGGATAATGGAAGCGTGGTTTGCTGGGTACACGTGTGCACATATGCACAATTTGAGAAACACATGCCTGCCCGTGTGTCAGTTCGCGCCATATGGCTCATGTCCAGTAGTCGCAAACACCATACTGCCATGTCCCTAACGACGTTGCTTTTGTTTTCCGTGTAACTTTTCAACAGACCAGAAGTAAATTTGAAGAAATATTCGGGCTGCCTCAAAGATATTGAAATTTCAAGAACTCCATATAATATACTCAGTAGCCCTGACTACGTTGGCGTTACCAAAGGATGTTCACTGGAGGTTGGTTTGTTTTTAATGGCTTCCTAAATGCTTTCATATCTGACTAAATTGACTTAGTTTGGGTGCTCTTACGGGGAGCAATCCCTTGTTAATATATTTTAAATTCTTAGCTATACGTAAATAACAAAGCAAGATTGCAGCACTTCTACAAATTACCATAATCACATAAATGCAGGAAATGGTGTGATGAAGACCCCAAATTGTGAACCAATTTCCCACATGGATAATACTTCATAACATCTATTTTTTTTTAATTTTTTTTTCAATGTTTATTTATTTTTGGGACAGAGAGAGACAGAGCATGAACGGGGGAGGGGCAGAGAGAGAGGGAGACACAGAATCGGAAACAGGCTCCAGGCTCTGAGCCATCAGCCCAGAGCCCGACGCGGGGCTCGAACTCACGGACCGCGAGATCATGACCTGGCTGAAGTCGGACGCTTAACCGACTGCGCCACCCAGGCGCCCCCATAACATCTATTTTTAATGTTAACCTCTTTTCTGATTCTCTCTCCTTTTCAAATACTACTTTTCCCTTTCCTCATTTTTGTTAATCTGTTTCAGATTTATTTCATCTCCCTGTGTCATATGTAGCTTTATTAGCAGCCTTAAATTTTTTTCTGGAATGTACTAGGAATTTACACAAATAACAAGTAATCGTTTATACCATAATCATTAGTGCATAGCACCGTGTCTACAGCTTGAGAGTCAAGCCTGCTTTTCTTTGGAAATGGCACAGACTAGGAACTGTCTACAAAGACCATCTTTGACAGGACTGCAAAGTCCTTTGCTGTTAGGTATCTTCAGTATCTTTTCTTTGTACCCAAAGCTACCCCTAGTTCCATTTACCTAGTCTGTTCTGACTCTTCGATAGGGGCCAACTCATAGGAGAGAGAAATAATAGACCCAGCTCTGCTCTCTTAAAATATCTCTGACCAAGAGTCAACAGTCATTAGGAAATATTAGTAAGAAGTTTATGGGAATCCTGAAAGCAATGAGTTTGTTTCTTAAAAAATGTTAAAAATATCATACTTACAAAATTTTGATTGCCTTGATATGACACAACTATTCATTTCACTGCTTTCTCCAACTGAAATTATTTTAAAGCATGGCTATAGAGTTCAGGGAAATTGCGGAAGAATAGGAGAAAGGAGAAGTGAATCCATCTGTGAGACCAGAACATTCGGCGTCTCCATGGTTCATAGTTTGGAATTGGCCATAGATATCCATTATGAGAAGCTCAGGAGTAAGGACTAGGGAAATACAGAATTGAACTCTAAGGATCCATGCTGGCTTCTTTAAGGAAGTTTTACTAAGAGCTTTAATGTTGCAAAGGCTACTCTCATCCACATCCCAAAGATATATACATGAGGATGGCAAACTGTCCAGAAAATTAATAGCCTGTATGTGTGAAAATGATAATTCTATAAAGGCAATTTTCCATCACCAGGAATTATTTTACAACTGAAATATGAGGCAGAAATGATGTGGATAAATATTGAAAAGTCTGCACAGTAGTTTTATCAGAACTATCCAAAAGTCTATCATTTGAAAATTGGAAACAAAAATAGAGGATATATTTTACAATACTTCTGTCACTTACCTGGGCCTGAAACCCTGTGGGGGAAAATATTCTGTGCTAGAGGATGCCATGATTTTACTCCAGCAAAATCCAGAACTTTGAAAATGACCGTTTTAAGCACTCAAAATGCCCAACTACATGGGCTTGCTTAAATAAATCCTAGCACATTTATACAGTGGAACGTCCTTCTGCCATTAAAAGTGATGATGAAATTTATGTTTCCTGAGAGAGGTATCTCCCACATACATAAATTTAAAAAGGAATTTACAAAGGAATGTGCCTATCAAGATTCAGTGTAAATATAAAAAGGAGGAGAGAGCAAGGTTGTGAAAGATGAATGAATGAATGAATGCATGCATGATGAACACACGAATGAATGAATAAACGCGATATGCTTCTGAACAGCTTTGAGATGGAGTGAGTTTTGCTTTCTCTCTTTTACACTTTGCTACTATCTGAAATGTTACTGCTTTAATTTTATTATTAAGGACAATTACTATTTTCATTTTGAGAAGTAAAGTGGACTATGAAATGTTTGGTGTGCTTATTAAGATTTAGGTTTTACCTGATTTTTTTAATTTTTCTAGAATATATTTATACATTTGATAGCACTGGACATCTTACCTTGGGCTTATCACTGAGGAAAATGCAGACATAAACCATGGTCATACTCATCTATAAAATATAAACAATTAGTTGACAGAGGGTATTTAAGGGATTCTGAGACTGTTTTCAAGAGAGATTTAGCAAGATAGAATTAAACCAAAAGAAAATATTATCGATCAGTGATAATCATCTGTATTTTAAATCAAAAGTGCTCAAATAAAAGCAGATGCCAGAATTTTTATTTTAACCCAAACTGCTTAGAAAGTTCGGTCATGCCTGGAGATAGTATTTCTTCAGTTGCTCCTAAGTTTTCCATGTAACTCTTGAGTTTCATGCTTTCTGAAACAATGTATTTTATGGTGCCACTGAGTGCTTGAAGGAGAGTGAGATGGAGAAATTAATTTAAATTTTTATTTCTGATGTTTTCTTCTCTTTTTCCCTTTTACCCACAGAACGTTTACACAGTCAGCTTCCCAAAGCCTGGTTTCGTAGAGCTGTCCCCTGTACCGATTGATGTAGGCACAGAAATCAACCTGTCCTTCAGCACCAAGAATGAGTCTGGGATCATTCTCTTGGGAAGTGGAGGGACGCCAGTACAACCTCGTAGGAAACGAAGGCAAACTGGACAGGTACTCTCAGACCTAGTTAACAATGCATTTTCCCTAGTTCTTATATAAAACAGTTATTTTATAAGGAGACGTGTGAGACATTTAGGTTTTGGAATGGTCTTTATTTAATTTTTAATTATTAAAAAAAAACCTTTTAACATTTATTTTTGAGAGACAGAGAGACAGATCATGAGCATGAGAGGGGCAGAAAGAAAGGAAGACACAGAATCTGAAGGAGGCTTCAGGCTCTGAGCTGTCAGCACAGAGCCTGACACAGGGCTCAAACTCACAAACCATGAGATCGTGCCCCGGGCCGAAGTCTGACGCTTAACCGACTGAGCCACCCAGGTGCCCCTATAAATTGTCTTTATACATTTAGATTTGCACTGTTTGTTTCTCCTATCATCTTTCTTAGGACAGTTATATCCATTATGATTTTCCTTGTGGGTCAGTCCTAGGTGCGGTCACGCTTGTATTTGCACCTATATTCTGTTTGGGTTTAGCATATGAGTATATAAAGAGAGAAAGCTTAAAATATATTCTAATTACAATCATATTCTCTTGTCTCAAAATCCAATTCCTTATCTGGATATCTGTAGATATCCAGCTAGGATACCTTAAATTCAAATTTAAATTGCTTCTAGGATCAATTTCCCAGTTTGACTAGCCAACATGATGCAGTCTGTTGAAGCCTAACCCACTCCACCCTCTCTGGACACAGAGAAGGCAGGGAATGGACCTGGGATAGAGAATGTTAATAGAGCACAACCAACACAAGCATGGACAGTAGTCTATGCTCAATTTCACTCATGACATGAACTTAAAGCCTACATAGTGTCTGCATTATAAGGTGTGAACTTCAATTTTCATAGCCCATAGCCATTTGATTGTTAAAAGCTGTCTCTTAGGCACCATAACTCTTTACTGCCGTGGTATTTCTCCAGTACTTTCAATCTAATGTTTTTAAATGTATATATTTTTTCCACATGATCTTGTTTTTCTCAGTGAAAGAGTTCATAGGAATTACCTAGTCTGCCATCACCAAAGAATGGAATGCTTTACAAATATGTCCTTAAATATGCATGCATTCTTATAAACCAGGTTGTGTTGTTTGTGATTTTATGTTTTTTAAAAAATAATTTAAAATTGGGTAACCAGTAATACGGTGGACCCTTGAACAAAATGGGAGGTCAGGACATTGCTCCCCTCCACACAATCAAAAATCCACATATAACTCCTGATTCCCCAACAACTTAACTACAAATATCCTACCATTGGCCAGAAGCCTTACCTATAACATAATCATTCGATAAACACATATTGTATATTATATGTATTATGCAATGTATTATATACACTGTATTCTGAAAGTAAGCTAGAGAAAAGAAAATGTTATTAACATCATAAGGAAGAGAAATACATGTATACTACTATATTGCATTTATCTAAAAAAATCTGCATATAAGTGGATCCACATAGTTGAAACCCATGTTATCCAAAATACTATATAATAAATCTTATTCTTCTCCCTAAGAAAAATAAATACCAAACAAAATAAATTCAAAGATGTATAACCATGAGTAACTTCAGTTATCTCAGGAATACAAGAGTATTTTAATATCAGAAAATCTAAAAATTATATAATCATCTCAATAGATGCAGTGAAATCATTTGGTAACATTTAATACCTATTCCTGATTTAAAAAATAATAATAATATAGATGAATATTAGAAACTGAAGAGAAATGAAAAAAATGCACTACATACTGTATGATGCCATTTTTATAGATTTCTAATATAAGTAACACTAAACAGGCAACTGGCTGGCTCAGTTGGTAGAGCGTGCAACTCTTGACCTTGGGAATGTCAGAGCTCCACATTGGATATAGAAATTACTTAAATATAAAATCTTAAAAAAAAAAAAGTGGGGCATCTTGGTGGCTCTGTCAGTTAAGCATCCTACTTCGGCTCAGGTCATGGTCTCACAGTTCATGAGTTCAAGCCCCACATCGAGATCTGTGCTGTCAGTGCAGAGCCGGCTTCAGATCCTCTGTCCCCCTCTCTCTTTGCCCCTCGCCTGTCCACACACAACAAAAATAAATAAAATACACATAAAACCACATACTGTTTACAGATATATGTGTGAATTTTCAAAGATAAGGTTTAAAAAGCAAGGGAATGATAAACATGAATTCCATGTTGTGGTTACCTCTAAGATAGTGAACCTGGGGGATGGTGTTGGGAGGAAACTCACAGAAGATGCTATCATACTGTTTCTTAAATTGGGTGTAGATTTACAGGTATCCATTTAATTGTACAGTTGTGAACATAGCTTCATTATCTACATGTCTCATGTTGTGGGTAATGTACCAAATAGTCATAATAAAAATATTTTTTAAAGAATATAGAGGGGAAAGAGTGTTATTTTCTCTCATTTCTTACTGCACATAAGCACTTATATAAATTTCCTCTTAAATTCCTTATCTTTTAATCTTGAAAAATAAAATTATTTTCTTACTATTATGAACGATAAGCTAGTTATAATAAGAGGACCAGATGAAACATTGTGAAGTAGGTTTTTACTAAAGGATATATCTTTCCCAGGTCATTGTCAGATAATTAAGCACCACCTACTGGCTCCAAATTTCTCCCCTTCAAGACTAAATAAATGGACTTAAATCACCAGCCTTCAGGATAGTTCCTAAAATAGAACATGTGCCCATTAGAACAATTAAAATGAGAACATATTAAGTACTATACTACAAAGTAAAGTGGAAATAATATGTTAACATTTCAACATTTTAATGATAATGAATATTCATTTTTTTAATCTCATCGAAGTGCTATTTGAAAGAGGAGACAATGTTAAATAGTTCACGTCTGTTGTAGAACCAATGCTGATTACACTGACATATTTTATTTTCCAAAGCTAACGTTTTGATGCTATAGGGTTATTTGTGATTCTGTTCTGCTAAAGGAGTTTGAGACATCGAACCGTCATTCACCTGAGAAAATTTTAATTGAGCGAGTGGTTTGCAGTTGCCTCTTTGATGGATGGTGAGCACGAGTCCAGGCCCTCTGGACATTGTGCTTTGGACACACAGCTGCCTAGACGATTTAGTAAATCATCAAAAGCATTATGATAGGTGATTGAAACCCTCTCCACCACCGCAGGTGACTCACAGCAGACTGAGTGATCATGGTGCCCTCATGCTCTACAAGAAAGGGAGCACATGTGGCATCAGCTTTGGGGACAAGGAATGCATTCAAGCTCCCTAGGGCTCATAATCTGATCTCAAAACCACACTGGTTGCTATAGTAACAGTAGCAAGAAGAAAGCAGTCATGTTTGTGGATGAAAAATTGTCTTCCTTCTTTCTAAGTGTGGGAGACAAGTTACGTGTTGGTGATAGCAATCTATTCCAGCAGCTCAGAGAACAAATTGCAGTCTAAACACTCAAAATGCCATGAGATTGGGAGTCGGATCTGATTTCCAGAAGCTAGCTGTCCACTTGTGAAGAGGAGGGAGAGGGATTGACACCCTTTGTTTCCTGACGCGTTTTGTGAGTTAGAGACCCGGTGCAAACACAGCTGTTACCTTCAGCATGGCAAATTTGGTTTGCGGAGGGTCCTGTATTCCTACATCTGCTTTCCACATCATCTAACGAGCAAAAGTGGCCAGTGATTAAAAAGCTTTTGCCAGCCACTTTAAATACTCTGAGAAAATATTGAGCCTTAAATTCTCAGGTAAGATCTCAGAGCCAATGAATCTGCAGATCTGTCAGGGAACCTTTAACGCTGTTGTAGTGGAGACCCCTCTTTAATCTTCAACAACCCCTTGATATTGCAGGCCTATTATGCGATATTCCTGAACAAGGGCCGTCTGGAAGTGCATCTCTCCATGGGGACAAGAACAATGAGGAAAATTGTCGTCAAACCAGAGCCGAGTCTGTTTCACGACGGGAGAGAACATTCCGTTCATGTCGAGAGGACTAAAGGGTAACAATAGCCCTAGAGAACTTGTAACTAACATAAACTCCTTGGCTCACATTAGTCTCTGACTGGACCTTCGTATGTGTGGTCATACAAAGCATTGTGAAACTATCAAGTCACTTAATTTCATCTTCTTTACGTTTCATACTTCGGGAACCTCATTTACCTTGGCCCCTAGGAATTCTCGTAGCATTTTTTATTCTGTGCAGTTCTCTGCTCCAGCTTTGGAAAAACCAAATACATCTTCTGAAGCTATAGATAAGAAAAATCCCTCCCTCCGCACCTCTCAAATATTCTCTTCTCAAATAAGGTATGCGCATAGCAAAACACACAGAACAGCTCAGCCGGAACCAGCAGCCTTTGGCAGCTGCTATTTCATTCAGGTTCCAAAGCAGTTATGGCAGCTGCTTAGAAACCTGTCACAGATCCGGACTGTGCAGCAGCTGCAGGACCTACTGAGAGCTGCTAAGTGCACGCCTCATCCCTGTCCCCCACTAAGATGCCCGGGGTCCCTGCAGAGTGGCTTCATGAGGGAACAGAGCTGAGGGAGAGAAGGGAGAAGGCTGCTGTCCAGCCATCAGTGCGTGGAGGCTGCCTCTCTAAGGATCCATGAGAGCACTGCTTCCCAGCCCTGAATCACAAAATTGGCAGTAATAGTGTTGTAAACTCATCTTTCATTTCTCCACGACGCTGCGGCACTTGATATTTCCTTTATTGGGAAAGTCATCTGTAGTTTTCATCAAAATGTTGTATGACAACTCTGGTAATCAGTTTAGAAGGACAATTAGAGAAAAAGAAAACAAGCCCAGAGATTTCAGACCTCCAAACCAGCAAGCCATTTAATTAGACTGAAAACACAGAAAAGAACTGGAAATCAAATGTGAGAAAACCTCAAGACACAGGGAATATTTGTAAATATGACAACAGTATGAAGGTCTAACAAGAGTTCAAGTGAACAGATGCTGTTCTATACAGACCCATATTTTCTAATTATCCTCTTGTGTGGATCACAGTTTAGATACATAATAAAAATGTCGTATCTTCTAAGTAAATGATAAAGCTTTCCTTGGCTTTTTTTTTTTTATTATTATATAGAGCATTGGTTTGTGGCTATGTTGATACTAAGCTTTCTTGCAGAATATCTACTAACTGAGATGTTTAGAAACCATGATTAAGACAAATGAGGGATCAATATTCAGACAAACTAAGAACTTTTACTAGCCTAATAGCCATATATGTCGGTCATGGTCTCTGAGGAGGAATGCAAACTGAATTTTCTCATTTGAATCTCAGCAACCGCTCTGAAATACTACTTTACATGTCTTCTAGACCAGATTTCAGGTTCTTTGCCAAATGCTAGTCCTTCTCATTGTGAGAAGGACTTTGTAACGTCTTTAAACTTTAAAAATTTTCAGCGAAACAAGTGCAGACTTGAGAAATACAGCTGACAAAAAATAATCACCCAGAATATGTTATTCTGTACAGAAAGGATTCTCACATTCCCAAGTGCATTACAATCTTGCACTAAGGTGTCCTTTTAACAGGTGTCTCTTCAAGAAGGGCATTTTATGATGCCAACTTCACAGCTGTTGGCCATTAATCCAACCTTTATTTGATTAAGTTCAGTGTATAGTACATCTCTGAAAACTGGTCATTCGGTTAATTGGCCATATAAACAAACAGTTTTGCCATTCGCTGTTAATTAAAGGATAATGTATTAGACATATTAGTGGGTAGTCACTGAACTCTGTGGCAAAGCAAGAACACATCTGCTACCATAATGTCTCACTCAGCACTCTAAGGTCAAAACATAAGCATCGCCTATCCTTTAAGTAAGTGCCCCAATTAACTGATTAACCAGAGATCACTAATGACCCTAACAACTTCACCCAGAAACATTCTTTAATGCTTCATACTCATTCTGTGACACGCTCTGTGTCAAATACGAGACACAGATTATTTCCTTTGATTGTGCTAAGCGTATGTGAAATCTGCATTAATATCCTTCCATCACAGATGAAGAAATATTAACTAACTTGCCCCAAATCACGTAACTAGTAAATAACAGAGCCAGGATTTAAACCCAGGTGTATATGATTTTCACACCTCTACCTGTGCTTGCCAACTATTTATTCTTACCCTTTTTTGTGACCTCAAAGATTGTATTACTTCATGTTGATTATGATACTCTCATTAATTTGGAAATGCTTGCTTTCTCCTAACACCATCCAGATCATAAATGTCAATTATGACATTGTCTTTCTTAAATGAAAAGCCCCGGATAAAATGTTAATTTTCATACGACCTCACAAAATCATTGGATTTTTACCAAACTGAGAAGCAATCTTTTCAAGATTGTCCTGGCCCTCTTCTCTCTCCCCTGTTATCTCTCTTTATCCTTCCTCTTTCACTCTCTCTCTCCTTTTCTACCCCTTCCTCTGCAAAAATCTCATTTGAGTTACTTTGGTGTCTAATTCCATGGTACTCCAGAGATCTCTCCCTCCTGTGTTTTGCCCTCTTAACCTTCTCTTGGACTCCACTTACATGGCCAGTAGTTCTTCCTAAAGCCCTAAGAGCCTGGAGTAGATGCATAAGCAAGTGGTTTTCTCCTTTGTGAGAGCATTCTTCAATACAGGTATAGAATTGGGCTAAAGGCCACAAAAGTTAGACCAGATACTTCAGGAATAATCTGGATTTCCAGAATGGGCTCATGATTTGGACACTACAACCCAAATATTTCTTATCATCCAAAATACGTTCAATCAAAATAGAATTGCAGGTTTTGTTTTTCATGTAGATTACAAATGTCAGGGTACTTCCCTTAATATCTTCTATAACCCATTTGGCAGATTGAAAATTGGTATAAGATTGAAAACAAAATCTTATACCAATACTCCAAACAAACAAGAAACAGAATGTAAGTAATAAAATATTCAATTATGAAACTCCAAGAGTCAACTGTTGAACTTGTAAGAAAATACAGCTAACTTATCATAATACGAATAATAATGTTTATTGTAGTGCTTTTTGCACATTGTAGGTCCTTGGTAAAGAGTTATTGAATAAATACTTAAACAACAGGAAAGACACCAGAATCCTAATGGACATATTGGTAATGTTCCCCTTTAAAAAAGAGCTAAATAAATAATCTAGATTTGATGCTTCTAGAATGTAAAATACAAGCAGGATTTAGCTATAGTCTTCTAGCAATGCCCTTATTAAGTAATACAGCTTCAGTGCAATCCCTTAATTAATGTTTTCCATGCTTTAAAGCAGGTATTTTTATCCTCATTTTATAAATGAATGAAATGAGATTGAGCAAGATTAAATAACTGGCCCAGGTCACACAGTAAGCTTCTGCACTAATACTTAATTCCAGTCTGTTCCTCCCGAAAGCTCGTGTTCATTCTGTATCTCTACCCTGCGATCTACTAAGAAAGGACCACTATAATGGTCGTGGGGACAGAACCAGATTAGACAGTCTACATCAGAAACATGAGAGCCTCTGGCTTTTTAAAAATTCTAATCAAGAACAGAGATTTGCTCTCTTAGACAATCTTTAATAGTGGCTTAAACCCCTCATTAAAATTCTTAGGAGCATTGCTATGTCATGTTAGTAAGAGGTTGCTTTTAGCAAAAGGAAAAAAAAAAAGGTGTGTGTGGAAGGGGACTTCTCAGTGAGTCACACATGCCCAGAAGTGAGTGCTTTTCTAAGTCTCATAAAACACCAGCATTCTTAGCAATAATGTTGAACCTCCTGATTTTTGCCAACACACTCTTCCAGAGTCTGGTAAAAAACCAATATGTCATTTCCCCCTATGTTTCCTTTGAAAATAAATCCAACCTGCTCCCTCTACACCCCCTGAACAATGACATTTTGAGCACCAATGAAATCAATTTTTTTTTTTTCATTCTCTTACATCTGAACTGTCTCAAAGTGGACCAATAGCTCAGGGCTATTTCAGAGTGTCTTTGCCCTGGTTTATTATTTCTAGCTCCACATGTGGTTTTTATTCTTTATAAAATCAAGCAAGATGGCCTTTTAGGACTGAGTTCTCCAACTAAGTACTTTGGTTTTCTCCCCAGATATGTAGTAAGTTTTCAGTAATCCATTCATGATCCTCGGGCTAGTGACTAATACTTATGACTAATAGCTCATGCCAACTGTTTGGGACTGAAATTCAAAACCTGCATCTAGAACAAAAGAAAAAAATGCCTTTGGTCTTTGTCATCATCAGAATTTTTTGTCTCCCTTGATTCTTTGCCCCAGGATCCATGGATGGTGAATAAGTAACATGAGGTTCTCAATTAGTAATGTGTGAGTTATCTCTCATAAGCAAATTAGGGAAATTAATGAAACAGTCACTAAGGAAAATTATGGCAAGGAACAATTAGCATGATGTTCTTGCCTGCCTCTTCTATTCAAAAGCCAGCAGCTATGTTCTTTATAAAATGCCCTGTAAGTGTTTGCTGTTGAGTCCTGCAATCCAAACTCTCATGAGCACAGTTTGTCCCCCAGCAAGAAGATAATAGCTAGCACGAACCAAGAAATAAAGAACCAAACAAAATGTGACCCCACGCTGTGCTAAACCCACTGAGCCTTATACGATTAGCTATAACGGCACTGTACAGAAGCCTCAGCTCTATGGGTTTGTGTGTTTGGGGCCAGTGTTGCCAAAGCCAAGGCTAACGTTACAGCTCCACTATTACCTTCTTTCAATCAACTCTCCGAGAGAGCTAATGGAGCAGGGGGAGGCAGAGGGACAGAGCCTGAGAAAAAATATTGTTAGCTTAGTGTAGAATTCCTAATTATCGAATTTTGGCTCACTTAAAAGCTACTGGAGGAAGGGGTGAGGGGTAGCAGGAAAGAGTTTGATTTCCAATTATACTGGATGTTTTGTGTTTTATACTGTGTATTTTCAATGTTTTACTAGCATGTTTACTGTTCAAGTCGATGAAGACAGAAGGCATATGCAAAATCTGACAGTAGAACAGGCAATTGAAGTTAAGAAGCTTTTCGTTGGGGGTGCTCCACCTGAATTTCAACCTCCCCCGCTCAGAAATATTCCTCCTTTTGAAGGCTGTGTATGGAACCTTGTTATAAACTCTGTGTAAGTACTTCTTCTGTTTGTTTGGTTTTTTTAATATGAGGATCCCTGTTGCATCTACACTACACAAAACCATGGCGTGGTGGGGGGAGGGGCGTCCAGAGAAGACCTTCTCATTAGATTTTAAAAATTGCACTGCTGGCCTTTAAAAGGGGGAGGAAAAATTCAATGGTAAGGAAGCAAGACGATAAAAACTAATAGAAAGTATTTAATTTTAATCCTATTCCATTAGCCCCATGGACTTTGCACAGCCTGTCTCCTTCAAAAATGCAGACATTGGTCGTTGTGCCCATCAGAAACCCCGTGAGGATGAAGGTAGAGAAATTCCAGCTGAAATAGTTACCCAGCCAGAGCCAGTGCCCACCCCAGCCTTCCCTACACCCACCCCAGTTGTGGCACAGGTGAGTGTTTTTATGCTATTGCTTTCTAATTTTAACCTGTATTCTAGTAGTTTTCAGAGAGAAGATAATTCAGGATATCTCATATGCTCTACTTCTAGAATTAGAGGAAGGGAAACTGGTCTATGAAAACCCGTTCTCCTTACATCTTTCTTGGATTACTTTATGTATCGTTCTCCTTAAATTTTCCTCCTCGTAAAATGGCATGTGTTTTCAGTTGAAAAGTTAGCATAGAATCAAAGTTATCACAGAATCAAAATAAGATCCACCTATAATACCACCACACAGAGACAACCGTAACATTTCCAGCCCTTTTTATTTGCATTTTAAGTAGTAAATCTTATATGTACAATTTGGTATTTTTTTTTTTGAAACAGGTAATAATAATTAAATGTCATACAAGTGTATAGGTCTGATTATAACGCTGACAGGCTAGCTCTGGGGACCCAGAAAGGGACCCAAAGGACCAGCCAAGAGGGCCCGTGGCTTCTCGAAGGATGGAAATCAAACGTGAGCCAGTAGGAAGTAAAAGCAGAGTTTCTTGAAGATATGGACAGAGCAGACACATTCAGGGCATCTGGGAGACTCGGAAAGGAGAGGACTATGAGCCTCATCTTTGTTTGGGGTCTGGGGGTTTTCATTGAGAATTGTGGTCCAGTGTACATGCCTCTCAGACATCCAGGAACAAGTTAGAACAGAGGCCAGGGCCCAGGTATTATTCCTTGGAGCTAGGGAACGTTGGCTTCCATATATCCAGGCTGGGGATCTGGAATGCGCATATAATACCTTCCTCTGGTCATTCTCACCGGGTCCTTCCTTAAATGTTATCTATTCTAAAGAAATCTTGAACTCCTTGTCCCTTACAAATAGGACATACACTCTTTGCATTCTGAACCATGTGTAAAGTGGGGTGGGAGTGCAGGTCCTAGAAAGAATAGAAGCAGGAAAGGGAACAGAAAGATGTTTATGGGGTCCTTCAGTTTCCCTGTTTCAGTTACATACATGTGTGTGGGTGCGACATGCAAAGAGACACAAAAAATATTTCATTTTATGGAGCTGATCATTTCATTGATTACAGTGTGGGTTTCAGTCCTGTATTCCAGTCTACCATGTGTATGAATTTGAGAAAGCTGCTTAGCCATTCTATTCCTCAGTCTTCTCATCTGTACAATGAGTATATTAAGGACACATACGTCTCAGAGTGACTAGGAGGATTAAAAAATAATAATGTTTGTTAAATGTCTCGTATATACGAAACGTTTGATAAATGGCATAATTACTAGACAGTAATGATCGTAATGATTGTTCCTCAGTGCTCACTATGTGCCAGCCACTGCCTAAACAAATTCCATCCAGCATTATACGTGGTTTTCATCATGGCTCTGTAAACTATATATCATCCCATTTGTATCTGAGTTGGCAAGAATGACCTAGCCTCAGTAACCCACCCGCTGACACAGCCAGTAAATGGCAGGATAGGAATTTTAATCCAGTAGGTCTGACGATACAGTCTGGCTCTTCATCATTGCAACACTCTGTCTTTCTAATTCTACTTTGTACTCATTGTGGGCCATTTAGAGTGCTTCCAGTTTTTTGCTATTGGAAACTATATTCTGATGAGTGCCACTGTATGCCAAACTTTCTCATTTATTTTTCTTAAAATAGATTCTTAGATGAATAATTATAAGGTCAAGTGATGAATGTATCTAAGGTTCTCAACACATATCTGAGTTGCTTTTTACAAAGGTTCCACCAATTTACATTCGCATCACCAACGTATCCAAGAGGGTGGATCTCACTATGCTCTTAACAGCGTGTGCATCGTACTTATAGCGCTTGCCAGTTGATGGGTGGAACATGTTGTGTTGAGCACAGATTTTGAAAACTCTTGAACATTTTCTTTTCTTCCTTAGTTTCCATGATGGAACTGGTTGTTTTTGAAACCAGTCTGCTCCTTGTCACTAGAAATATTTTGAGCTTATATCTTCTCTAACATCCCTTCCAGGATTTGAAAACAGTGAAGTCATTTCCTCGTGGTGAGCATAGCATAAGGTGTTGACTTGGCAAATCACTACCCTGTACACCTGAAACTAATGTAATGTTGTGTGTCAATGATACTTCAATTAAAAAAGAAAAAGAAAAAACTAGCGAAGTCCTTTTCCCCTAGGGTAAATATTCCATAATCTCAAGCATTCTTCATATGACCTAATTTCTGATTCCCATATTTCCGCCGATCAATTTCTTGACTTTGAAATATCCCTTTCAAAATATGTCACTTAGAATGGACCATATTACTCAAAATGGAATGCCCAGTTGAGGCGACAGCAGTACCTTTCCTTCCTGTGGCCTGTTATCAGATTTTATTAAGGATGCGCCTGAGAATACTTCAATGTTTTAAACCAATGGATCATGCTATTCGTTCATCATCAGGTACCATATTCAGTCAACCACAGTCTTGAGGGTCTTTGTACCACTCATTCTGTTGTGTCAGGTCTCTCAGCCAGCCCATCTTGACTTGGTATGGTTTATTGGTGTAGAAGCCTGCTGGTCCCCAACGATCAACTTCCTTTTCCTTTTCCTTTTCCTTTCCTTTCCTTTCCTTTCCTT